GGCTTTGGAGGGCGGAGTTAATGTCAACAGATTTTTGGAGGGCGTTACCAACAGAGCTCATTAACATAAACAGCTCTTATGAACGGAAGTCAGAGCAGGCAGAACTAGAAAATGGGAAATTTTATTATCTGAGAATTATTTTGTGCATTAAATTGAATGAACATGGTCTGGATAGCCCACAGACATATCATTAAAAATTTCTAGGACCCATAATTGGTCTCCTTTAATGTAGTGTTGTGCTCACTGCGACTGGCATTGCATTGCCACCTCTCTCAAAACGAAATGCAAAAAAAGGAAATGAACTAAAAAAAATGTTTAAAAGATGTATAAGTAGGTGACTAAATAGCACCAAACTACATAAGATGCCCACACATTCCCCTAAAATATAAATGTATCAACTGAATCTTTTGACATTGTTTCGCTTTAGCTGTGCCTTCTGTTTAAGATGGGAACTTCAGGAGGCAAAGTGCATTTCAAAGTATGAACAGGAATTCTGCCAAGTTGGCAGCACAGCGTGTTCACTCCACTACTGCACAACCTGTTCGTTAATACATTTACTTAAAGGTGTAGTTAAAAAAACAGCCTGCTTTAATTACACTCATAACTTGATGTCCAAAGGCTGTAGGGGAAAAGGAGTGGAAATATTTGTAATCTTCTGAATCAGATGTGTTGGATATTAACGGGAATGTAACACTTGGTTCCCTGTGTGCGCAGCAGACCTTTGGATCACTTCTTCAGCTGGAAAACAAATATCTTGGTTGGCTGACTTCTAAAAAAAATCAACATAACAGGTGACAAATTGACTGCAACATTATGCATATTTTGTTAAATCACTTTGTTCGGTGATGCTATATCAATGACTCAACAGTACTTTATTTATCAATAGATATTGATTATTTCTATGTAATCTATTAAATAAATTATACGTGTTAATAAGACAACATCAAACCCTTTCAAAGGCAGCGGCTACAATGTATTAAAATGAATACAGCCCAACTACAGCAAACATACTGTACAACTTTTCCACTTGATGCTATTATAACATGAGTGTGTGGGAGTGCGACTATCTTTAGATTGTGAATGCATACACTGAGTGTGTATCTGAGTGTGTATGTGAGTGTGATGCAATGACGATGCAGATCAGCCAGCAGAAAGCAGCCACGCTCTCCAAAAAAACAGATCTCCTGGCACGGGGGGTATGTGTGTATGTGTGTGGGAGAAGGAGTACTGTACTACCGCAGAATGTGTACTGTCAGTGCATGAGCCACTGTGTAAACAAGTGTGAAAGAGAAAGACAATAGGGCTGAGCGCTATTACTCATGCAAAAAGGAAAGATTCTTAGCAGGAGCCTTGTTAGAGCAGAAGGGAAGACGAARGCGTGTAAGTGTGTTGACCAGCTGGAGCTCCACATGTGGACGAGTCTTACCYAGCCAGGGATTCCAGCAAAGAAAGATCTACTCCTACAGTGGATGTTTGCCCAGTGTGTGTTAACAATGTCCGTGTGCGCAAGTGTGCATTTGTGTGTGAGTTTATAAAGGGCCTACCATTTGGTGGGAGTGTGATGAATGTGTGAAGAATGTATGAGTCAGTTTATTTGTATA